TTGGGCAGTTTTTTAGCCTCGTCACAATCTCCCCATAATCGAGATGAAATAAATGCATTTTTTGGCTTGAAAAATTAAGAAATCTTTTTCACCTCCAGGAAAAGCTCTTTCCAGCGATTTCTCTGTATTGGAAGCAGTACCAAGAAAATATCCTTGATTTATTGAAAGAATCAAATGAGAACCTTGTGATCTGTGGAGATGGACGACATGACAGTATGGGGCATTGTGCCAAATATGGTGCATATTCAGTTATGTGTTGTAACAATCAAAAGCTTATCCATTTTGAACTAGAACAGGTACAGTGTGATCCTAGCTACTATTTTGTAACATTTGTCAACAACAAAACCGAATCTGAAAGCTACTTTGATTGATGATAGACTTGATGAAATACTTTTTTCTTTGTTTAAATCATGTCAAAACATTTAGAAAAAAATTGCTGCATGGAGTTCAAAACATAAAATGATCTGATTTGATCTTGCTTGAAAAATATAATCATTTGCAGGCAATCAAGGAATTTTATTCATTTGCAGAGAAATGCAGTTGGAAGCAGCCCCTTGATGGAATATGAAGGTTTTGTGAGATGTTTGTCATTTCTCAAGCTTCATGAACTCAATATTGATGTTTTTGTTTCCGATCGTCACATTTCAATAGCTAAACATATGCGGGAAAAAGAGAATGGAATAACACATTATTTTGACTTGTGGCATTTGAACAAAAGTATGTTTATCTATTAACTTCTTCCTGTTTTAAAAGAAAAATTTTCAACAGTACAAAACTACAGGTAGCCAGCTAACTATGAATGTAATGTTTCGAGCAGTTACGAACATTTTTACCCCATTTCAAAAATTTCAGAAATCCGGAAACTACTCAATAGGATTGCTGTATTGAAGGACTGTGAAGAGGTATCACATTGGGTACAACCTTGTGTCGACCACTTGCATTGGTCAGCAGTGACAACTCCCAGTGGTGATGACAATTTGATATGGAACAGAGTGCATTTGTAATCCAGAGTTGTCACTTGCAATACGGACATAGACATAATCTGTCTGATATATTCACAGACAGAACCTCATAGACAGAATATGGGGTATTGGCCAATCAGGTTACAGTTTTTCATTATGGACATATAGCCTGCCACAGGGATCCGAATTACACATTTACACCTTGTTTGGTTGTCAAATTATATTTACACAAGGACTATTACCAGCATCAATCCGCATGTGGTCTGAAGGAATTCAAAACTATGCAAGAAAGACAATAGACATGTACTTCGCTGCTAGCTCTGCGCTTTAATTATTGTTTCAAATTAGTACAAATGTACAAAGTAAACCATTCTTTACTTTCATAATCGTTGACAATCGGATTCCAATGACAGCAAAAAGCCTACACAATAAAATACAAAGCTAGTTACATAACAAATTCCATAAAATCTTACGGTAAAACCGCTCGACAACCGGCCTCGACAAAAACGGACAGCCAAGCCATGAAAGTTTTTTTCAAAACAAACGTCGACCAGATTTACAATATTGAATTCTTTATCTTCAACTTATGTTGAAATTATAGCCAAAATAGAGGCTCGGGACAGGATTTTTTGTAAGTAGCGAAATGATCAATTAAAAATATTATGTACTGTATAGGAAATAAGGAAACATAGTACACTTTTAGAATTATTGGGGGTACTTTTGATATTTTCTTTCTTTGAATACCCGTTTTTTCCAGATTGTTTACATAACAGTCATACACTGGTACGCGTTTGTTAGAGAAGATTAAAGTTTCGAGGGCAGGCCAGAAAGGGATACGGCATTTACGATGAGAAACTCTTTCAGGGGCCTGTTGTCTTCGATCTTAGTTAAAAGAGCCGAGCATTTAATTTGGGCAGAAGTACTATGTTGATGGGTGTAACCGTTACAGAAATTAAATGACAGCTTTTTTATATTTCTACTGAGAAAACTCACTAAAACTAACCTGTTAGTAAAGGTTCTGAGCAATTTAGAAATTTTAATAATCCCTACCGCTGACATAAATAATAGAACTACTATTTAATCTTGCTACTGTGTTATCACTTCAAGAAACTTTATGTTTCTGTGTCTTGTTGGGACTGGCAATTTTTTGCATAATTTTTTCACTCACGATAGAAATTGTGATGATATAAATTTTGAGAAATCTAATCTTATTCTGTTAGGTACTAGGTTGAACAACTCTAATCTTTTCTTCATTCTCGAAATTGATAAAACAATTTAAAGATAAAGATAATTTGTTAATCGGCTAATTTTTTGTCATTTGGTAGAAAGAAACTCGTAGAAACCTATATTTAAGGGCTGAACTTTGCTGTAATGACCCTTTCCGTACATTTTTGTTGTAAATTTGAGTGGCCCTTGGGTTTGATGATTGTAAACGACCACTCAATCTAGAGAAAAATCATCCTTTTCACGAAGGATCTTCACTGCAATTTGATGGTCCTTTTCAAGTGAT